GAGTGGGGAGCAGGGGGCACAGAGGCTGCAGGGGCGGGGGGGTGCAGAGGCTGCAGGGCGAGTGGGGAGCAGGGGGCACAGAGGCTGCAGGGACGGGGGGGTGCAGAGGCTGCAGGGCGAGTGGGGAGCAGGGGGCACAGAGGCTGCAGGGACGGAGGGGTGCAGAGGCTGCAGGGCGAGTGGGGAGCAGGGGGCACAGAGGCTGCAGAGGCGGGGGTGCAGAGGCTGCAGGGTGAGGAGGAGCAGGGCAGGCAAGCAAGGGCATAGAGGCTGCAGGGGCTGCGGGGCGAGTGGGGAGCAGGGAAGCACTTAGCAACCCCCAACCAAGATCAGAGCGGGAGGGAGGAGGGGGAATGCGGGGTGCTCAGAGAAGGGGGCAGAGTTGGGGCAGGGGACTTTGGGGAAGGGGTTGGAATGGGGGCGGAGAAGGGGTGGGGTTGGGGCGGGGCCGGGGGCAGGGAAGGGGCAGAGTTGGGGCAGGGCCGGGGGCGGGACCGGGGCCCCGTGGAGTGTCCTCTTTTTTAAATGTTTGAATATGGTAACCCTACCTTAACTGAGGCATCCTTAACTCATGCAATCCTAGCTGAGACATTCCTAACTGAGATATATTGAATGCAAGACTACTACACAAAGGCAGCCATAATGCAAATGTCCTTAGCACAGCAGACCCTGACTGTGCATGTCCAATATTTTAAACTTCTAAACTGCTCTAGGTCATGGGTTCTCAACAGCCACCCTCCCTTTCTTTCTTTCTTTCTTTCTTTCTTTTTTTTGGGGGGGGGAGGCTTGAAACTTCTGAGAGGGGTGTCCTGAAACTATTTTCGGTTGTAACATGGCATCACAGTACAGAAAGGTTTTGACCATGGTCTTAGGTGAAGGATGCCACGAAGAAAAATAAAAGAAATTTTCTAATATGCATGTGTTAACTTGCTGAGTTTAAACGTTCATAATTTTAAAAGTACAGAACTTATTTTTATCAAACCAAATACTTTCCCCTTCCTTAACAAGGGCTAACAAAACAAGATTAAGTTTGAACTTTCTAGCTTCAGGGATTTTTGAATTAGACAAGTGCAAAATTCCAATTGGCAATTTGGTAAAGTGTATTTTGGGAAAACTGTATTTTCCCCCACTCTATCAAAAATATGGCTGCACCAATTTTGCCCAAATTTTCCAAAAATTGTTTGGATTGAGACCAGACATGGAGAGTTTCAGTACAAAAGGAATATGAGAACATTATGAACAAGTGAAAAGGTAGGACTAAGATGGAAACTGCAATTCACGAGTGTGACGTTTCACTCCATATTCTTTATGAAAATATGCTTATGATATGAATATGACATAACTGAGATACACTTTATGCAAGATGGCTCATGTGAGATATCATTGGGAAGGTTATGATTTACTGAATTTGATTATCCAATTTGTATGCCTGTATCATTTCTGTATCTGAAGTTGGGAATATTAACTATGTATCTGTATTTCAAATGTGTTACTTTGGGTGTCACCCCCAACCAGCCCTTGAGGTACAACAATGGAAAAGCCAGACAGGGCTCAGGGGCCATTAGCAGAGACAATGGACTGTGAAAGGGCTTAGTCTTCCTGTGGAGGCTGGAGACAGCTTACGAGCAATGGCTGCCACAGCCTTGCACAGACATGGGTCCGAGTCACCTGGCCCTGGATACCCCTCCTCCTCTTTTGGAATGCCAGTGGTTTTCCACTAGAAGACAAAGGCTTCCCGCCTTACACTAGAGCTATATAAGGCAGGGGAGTGACATTATCATGGGTTCTCCTCTGTCTCCCCACCCAAAGAGACACTGAAAAAAGACCTAGAAGCAAGAACTGAACTGTGGGGGGGAAGGGTTGAACCCAAGCTGGGAGGGTGTCTAGCTTGTGCGTAATAATACCTGAGGTCTCAAGAGGGAGACCAGTGCAGCTGCCTTTCAAGACTTTCTGTAATCTGCCTGCAACAATATCTAGGGTGAGAAATACTGTTTGTAACCAATTTCTTTAGTGAAATTAGCTTAGTTTGCGTGTTTGGTTTCATTTGCTTAGTAATCTGCTTTGTTCTGTCTGTTATCTCTTATATTCACTTAAAATCCACCTTTGGTAGTTAATAAACTTGTTTCTTGTTTATAATAAAACCCAGTTTATGCCATTTCTAACTGGGGGGGCAAAAAGTGTGCACATCTCTCTTCAGATTGAGGAAGAGGGCGGATTTTTATGAGCTTGCACTGTGCAGATTTTTCTATACAACGCAAGACAGTATTATTTTGGGTTTCTCTCCCAAAAGAGGTGTGCACGTGAGTGCTGGGGGAGTCCTCTCACACAGAGCTGACTTCAGTCTGTGTCTGCAGTGGGGTGTGGCCCTACCTGTGTGTGTGCTGCAAGAGGTCGGAGAGCCTAATTCAGCAAAGCAGGGAGAGGGAATGCAGGCTGATTGTGCAGGGAAGGCTCAGTGAAATACCTGTATATCAGGTGGCGTCCCAGAACGGGGGTCCAACCCATCACAATCAGTAACTATAGTTTCCACGCAGAAGCTAAAATATACATAGTTTCCTTTCTCTCTGTACGGCTGTCTGGGAAAACAACCTCTTGAAAACACTCATCCTGGCTCACTCGTACAAATGCTTGCATACACCGACACACTGAATGATGGAAACACTCCCAGAAATTCAATAAAAATCCCACATGACTGCATGAGTCCCACAAACAGGCCTGACTGTAAAATTTCCAACTTACTTTCCGGGATCTCCTGCTGGACCAAGTAGTAGCGGGCAGAGAAGCCATCTTTAGCCACTGCCAGATCAGTATGGAAGGTAAGCGAGAGAATACCAGTAGCTGAGCGGATCTCGGAAGGTGTCCTAGTGCCACAGTACCTGCCTATCAAAGGGCCAACTGCAAAAGAAAGAGCAGCAAAGTAGCTCCAGCCTTTTGGTTGGACTCTTTAGTCTTTATCTAACCTGACAAGTCAGCACTACTTGGCAAGAATACATTGGTAGTGGATAGCGAGTAACAACCCTACAGAACGAATCCGGATGAAATGAAGGCATTTTTGATTGTTTAGTTTCTATCACTTATATTTTTACAAGAACAGAGGTAGATCAAGTGTAATATCAGTTTGTTCACCTCTCCGAATTTCTAGTGCACATCTGTGTCTCCATCTATCTGCATTTCTAATGCATGTACTATATAACACATCTGATACATCCTCTATAGGACAGATGTTATTCTCTACTTGCGGGGAGATGGACTCAGTGATCAATAGATCTTTTTCATCTCTAACTCAAATGATCCAATGATACAATTAGAAAATTAAAAGTGTAGGTTCATCAGTAATATGAAGTCTACGCTGACACTCCATGGGGACAAACCCAGTATTGGAGACAGATAAATATGGTGATGATGCAAATCCTAACAGCTGAGAAAAGGCCAACAATATTTTGCATTTGTTAGTGCTGCAGAATACCGACAAGTCATGCCCCGCTATGGAATTTTCCAGACTCATCATTACAGCTGGTTAACGGGAGACTAGCCAGACATAGAGAAAAGCCTTGGTGATACATCGCCCCAGTGCTTACCTTGAGGAATGCCATCCCAGATGTCCAGCCAATCATACTTGCAATCTCCCTCTCCGACCTGCAAGGGGTCATGCTCCAGGTCAAAGGTCAGAAACTGAAGGATGATTTCCATCTTTGGCTTGGCCATGATGGTGAAAGTGCAGTCCAAGTTGTGGGGATACTTATCAGGGAATCCTGGAGAGTCAATAGTGCCATTGGAGCTGGTGAAGTTTCTAGAACAGTCTTCAGAGCCTGCAGGGGTAGAAAAAGTGGACGTAACTAACAACAACAACATGGCTGACATTGACAGCTCTCGCCTCCTTGTGCGCTTGGCAATATTCACTCTGTATCCAGAGCGTTGTCAGGATTTTTGCTGGCAACTTCTTGGGACACAAGAGCTTTGTAAATTTCATAACGACAGAGGGTGAGCTTGTTAAATAATTCCGACGGGCTTTGGACTGAACATCTCACATTCACTGTAGACGTGTGCCTAGACTGCTTTGAAAACCTCACTCAGAATCGATAGCTAATCCCGCTGCAAATACTCTGAAAATGGTATTAAGGGAATAGGAAAGCCCAAAAGGTTGGAAGCCCAAGCTGCACTGCAACAACATCTGTTGCAACACAATGTTATAATGTCACCATGCCAGCAGTACAGGGGTTATGCTCTGAGGCAACAGCATGGTCAGCAGTAGTGGATCAGGCATGAGGAAGAGTTTGCTGTTCTTTTTCACCCCATTCCTACAGTCTACCGATGGGCTCTTGGAGCACAGGGTCTTCTTAGCTGGCACTGTGACATGAATGCAACCAAGATGCAACCATTCTTGTGACACACCATCACCAACAATGGACCTGGACTCAGCATGTTCGGGGTCAACTCAGCAGACTGCAATTGGGCTAATGTAAATAATATACCGGTTCCCCCAGCATATTGTGGGGAGGCAGGGGGAGAAATGGGCATAAGGGGTAAAACACATATATGGCCAGACTAAAGACCTAGCTCTCTAGGGCTATATTTGGGGAACTAACTGAGGGAATCATGACCCACAATCAGGGAGGATGACTGACCTAGGGAGGAAGGAGAAAGGAATGGAATCTGGCAGGGCCGAGGAATTGTCTAATTTTTAAAAGAGATCTCCCTGACCTACCGATTTTGTGTCTGTCTGCTTATCTATCTTAGAACTTAGCACTAGCACCCATCACTGCGGTATTGGAGCTAAAATTTCCTCTTGAGAGTCATGAGATCTGGGTTATTTTCCCAGCTGTGGCACAAACTTCCTGCAAGGCCTTGGGCAAGTCACTTAACCTTTCTGTGCCTCGGTTTCCCTATCAGCAAAATAGGGATACTAATGTTTACCTAGAAACAATGCTGCTGTGAGGCTTACTTCAGTACTGCTTGTAAAGCATTTTGAAATCCTCACATGGGCAATTGCTAGCGAAGTATAAATGATCAATGATTCATTATCGCTATTATGTATTTTATTTTCCATCGGAGTGGCAATTAGCAGAGCAACCTCTCTGCAACTTCACCCAAAGCCTAGGACCTTAGCTGTAGAGCGTATGAATGGCTGGTCCAGCCTATGTCTCCAGACTGTGGCTGCTGAAAGATTTCGGGGGTCGGAGGACTGGTGTGTGTGTGTGCGCGCACATGTGTGTGTGTGTGAGAGAGATTCCGTTGACAGGAGGAACAGAGCGCTCTTTCTCTCTTATTCAGCTGTCTGCACCAGAAATGTTAGTTATTTCTATTCTTGAGGAAGACTTTCTCATTGCCAACAGGGCAGACAATGTTGCCACTTATTTATTGCTGACCTTGACGCTGGCCTCCCTCGTACCACAGCCTGCTCAAGGTGCCTCAGGGTGGTGGGGGAGAAGAGGAGGTTGTGTCCTATTCATACCATGGCTGCTTTAAAACCACTGCTCTTTAGAGGCTGGACAATTGACAATGGAAATCTCCAGCCTGTGGGCCATCGGAGGGGCAAAGAGGGTGTTACAGAGGCCTTTATCTCCATGACTGTAACAGAGGGTTAACATTCACTAAGGCTTTGACTTTTGTTTTATAGGGATGCTGCGCTTCTCCTCTATAAACTCACTGCTCCCACTCACCGAGTCGGTGCAAGCCTTCTTGGGACCAATTGGAGCCTTGTTATTAAGATCTGCACTAGCCTACGCAAGTTAGGAGAGCAACTTGAGATAACAGCTGGACTACTGGTACTGTTGTACCCCTAGGTGGAGTAACATTGAGAGGAATTTCTTAACTGACTATAGGAGAGCAACCAGCTTCTCTGGTGTGATAATGCAGAGGGAAATAGAAGAGGCCAAGCACAAATCGCAAGACAACACAATGAACAAGAATAAGAATGTATTTACTCCTGATCAAATAAAAAGGCAGCCGGATTTATGAAGAGACTAATACACACTCCAAGCCAAGGAGGAAAGCACAGAAATATTCAGTAAACCAGATGTTGACTGTCAGGAAATGTCCTCTAGGGACTGAACAGAAATGTAACTGTGATACTGTTAGATAGCAACGATTTCCTCATTTGGGTCGCTTGTAGCGGTTAGTATCTTTGTCAATAGCTTGACTGTAACCAGCAAACAATGACTTGCTTTACAGGTAACCTGCAAATAATAAATGGAAATCATGTTTACTTCAGCAATATGTGCTAAATGCTCCCACTCACCAGGCTGAGGGAACAATTCAGCACATAAACAACTAAAAGGAAACCACTTAGGGCTTGTCTAACTGGCACTTTACAGCGCTGCAACTTTCTCGGTCAGGGGTGTGAAAAAACACACCCAGAAGCGACAAAAGTTTTAGTGCTGAAAAGCGCCAGTATAGACAGTGCTTTATCGCCAGGAGCCGCGCTCCCGGTGATAAAGCTACCACCCCTCGTTCGGGGTAGTTATTTTTTATCGCCAGGAGAGCTCTCCCCCGGCGATAAAGTGTGACTACACTGCCCATGTCACAGTGTGGCCGCATTGCCGCGCTGTATCGTGGGCAGTGTAGACATACCCTTAAAAACAGGCTTGTCCAACTGCTCTCACTGTCACGCCCCAGAGACAGGGATGGCTGGAGCCATGAAGTTCAGATCTGATCTCTCCCAAAGTATAGTGGGAAAAGACCATCGGAGGAAGAGGAAGTAAGGGCTGCGTCACAGAGGCAGAAGGAGTAGGAGGAAGGCAGGCGCTACGTTAGCCCCACGACGTTAGCCCCTTCCTGGTTCGTACTCAATGGACAGAGTGCTTCTCACTCCCTGCCAGCCGGCCTCTCGGCACGGTGTCACTGCCTGGTTTTGTGTCAGCTCAGCCTCATCCTGGGCACTGCTGCATCCTGGACTACTCCCAGTCCTGCTTCATGACATAAAAGTCAGGGCCTGGGACTGGCAGCAAGGGCAAGTGGGACAAGGCACACAGGAGGGACTGGGATAGGACCAAGGGTTATGGGTAGGAAGAGGCAAGACAGCCCTGGTTTGAGTCAACTATCTTCCCATCTGCACAAAGACTCATCCTGATCCCTGCCTCAGTGTCCACTATTCCCTCAGCAAATCCCACGAAAACTGCCGTCCTGATGGGTTAACTAACCCCTTCAGGATTAATCAATGTTCAACCATTAAGTGAGACAATCATGTCATGAACTGGCTGGTGTGTCTGTGCACCACTGCCCTCTACTGGATGGAAAAAGAACTGCTCAACTGTGTGCCAGAGGCTTTACATGGCCACACCCTCATAACGATTCTCCATTTTAATGAGTCACCCCAGGAATAGATAGATACACTGATAGATTTTTTTAATCCACCCTCTCCCCTTCTAAATTAAAGTCAGGAAGTCCTATTTCATTCGTATTCCCATCCCCAGGCAGCTGGTCATCAGCACCCGAGTCTGTATGTGAGTATGTCTCTGTGTATTTACAAGCATCTGTCTCTAAATAATATATAACTGTGCTCAAAACCACTAAATACTTATGTGCTTGTATTAAGATTCTGAAAAAGAAACAAACAAAGCTGCGTCTATTTTTGATTCTCCAGTATATTCATGTATTTGTTTCATATTCTGCTGATGATGTGACAGTCGTGTGTTTTCTTCCACTAATGTGGGCAGAGGGCCTGGTCCTATGACAGATAGCTTCGGGTATCCTTGTGCAAAACATACTTATGCCGCTCATGTGCACACAAGCTCTCTCTCTCTCTCACTCTCTCTCTCTCTCAGGGCTACTGTACACGAGAAGCGCTACAGCGGCGCCGCTGTAGCGCGTCTAGAGAAGACGCTTTATGCCGATGGGAGAGCGCTCTCCCGTCGACGTAAGCCATCTCCGTGAGAGGTGGTAGCTATGTTCGTGGGAGAAGCAATCCTGCTGACATAGCGCTGTCCACACCGGCTATATCGCACAGGGGGGCGGAGTGGGAGGGGAAGACATTATTCACACCCCTGAGCGACATATGTTATACTGACATAAGTGGAAGTATGTACAACCCCTCAATCTCTCCCACACACACACTCATGCGTGTGCACACACAAACATAGAGTTTCGTATTTTCTTGAGACTATTTGTTCTCATACATACAGTTCTGACAAATATTTAGACAGAGCTGATATAAAAAGGCCTTTTGAGCAGCTTTTACTTTCTTCCAGAATAGTTTTGTATAAAACAGAATTATGAATAGTTCCTGTTATACTGAACTCAACAGCCGCCTGTCTGACTCCCTTGCTGACACTGCAGGCAGCAGCCCCTTTAAACGAGAAGTCCACCCGTTACAAAAACCCTTGCCTTCCAGAAAGAGAAAACAGAGTCATTGATCAGTGCTTAAGTTGTATATCCACAGGAGCTCTACACAGTTCTAAAGGAGGGACAATCTTCACTTAGCCCTGACTTAACAAGCGCTTACATGCCATGAAGAAAAGATAGAGTGTTTGTAGTTCTGGAATGCAAGAGAATTTAATGAGGAAACCTGCTTTTCATGCCAAGATACGAATCAAAAAGCACTATAACGCACCACTAAAATCTTTACCTTCTTGGAAATGTGATGAAACAGACTTGCCAAAAAATAATACCCTTTGTACTGAGCACATGCTAAAAACCCTACTGAAAATGTGGCTTATGGGATTTGCTCTGTGATGATCCCAATGTCAACTGCTGGGAAGATAGGTGCTGTAGGTCTGCCAGTCCGAAGTCTGCCTTTGACACTGACCTGTCTTGTAGATCTCATAGCGCAAAGAGAAGCCAGCGCCTTGCCGTGCGTAGTCCGAGGTGAACTTAATGTAGAGAGAGGAGCCTGAGGAGATGATGGTCGGAGGAGCAATGTTCCCACAGTGTTTGCCCAGCAGGTCTGCCGACTCGCTGTCTCCGTCCCGTATCTCGATAAAGTCATATCTGTCCGAGGAGTGAAAAGGGAGACAGAAGAGACACATGACAAACAGGGTGATGTTACAGAATGTACAGCACAAACACAATGCGTCCTTCTTCCCACCCTATACATGCCTACATACTTCACAGAAGCATCTGCCAGGCTGCTTGCTTCGACCATATCACCCCCTTGCTTGCAATTCTCCATTTCCACTGCAGTAAGCACAAGCTACTTGTCTTCACCTTTTAGGCCCTTTATGGCTTATGCCTGGCCTACCTAGGATCTCTAATCCACTAGACAGGTGTAAACTCTCACCTCCACTTTGCCCACAATGTCACCCTTGATTGCCCATTTGCCAAATTTTCAGACAAGCGGTCATCATGCAGTCTCCCGTGCTACCACTTATGCAAAGGAGAAGCACCCTATAAAAATCTTCCAGGCCACTATCCTCCTTTACATCTCTTCTTAAAAGGCACTGTCCCACGATGCCTACAAAACACTTGACAATTCTTAGGGTATGTCTACACTACAGGATTAATCCGAATTTAGATAATTCGAATTTGGGAAACAGGTTGTATAAATTCGATTGTGCGCGGCCACACTAAGCACATTAATTCGGTTTTTAACCACATTAATTCGGTGGTGTGCGGCCACACTACCCCATTACTTTAACCACAGTAATTCGGTGGTGTGCGGCCACACTAACCCTAATTCGAATTAACAAAATCGATTTAGGCGCTACTCCGCTCGTCGAGGTGGAGTACAGAAATCGATTTTAAGTGCCCTTTAATTCGAATTAACTGGCTCTGTAGTGTGGACGGGTGAAGGGTTAATTTGGATTAACGCAGCTAAATCCGAATTAAAGTCGTAGTGTAGACCAGGCCTTAGACAGCTGGTGTGCGGTGATCACTGCTTATTCCACTGTTCATAATGGCCTCACTGCTTCCTTGTCTCCCAGCAGTTTGCTGTATCCACCTGTTGTCTTTCATCTTAAACGTTGGGGCCTGGGTCACCTCTTTGTTATAGTCTGTACAGCCCCTGGCACAATGGGGCTGAGGCCTCTAGGTGCTACCCACAATACAAATAATAAGCAATATTAATTATAACAAACACCTCCCTCTACTGAAACTTTGCTCCTAGACCTACCTCCCATTCCATAACTAGCTTGTGTGTTTCCTCTCCCTCAATTCCTTCCCTTGTTCTCTCTAGTAAGTTGCATTATTTGTTATTTATATTCAGCTCTCAGATATCGCTCTCTGTCCAAATGATCATTCACTCTCCAAGCACTCCTGCACAGTAGGTACGTTACTATCATTATCCCTATTTCACACTTGCCAGAGAGGTAACGATGGGATTGTCAAATGCACCTAAGTGATTTAGGAGCATAAATCCCAAGGGGTTTGACAATCCCTCCCTAGATGACTTGCCCAAGGGCACACAGGAGGGCAGTGGCAAAGACAGGAATAAAACACTCTTAACCCCCAGACCCATGCTTATTCCTCTAGCCTATTTGGTAAGAGTTTCCATTCTAACACTCTCTATACACAGTTTTCCATACCTCTCACTTTGATTGACTTAAGTGGGTTATGGCATTATCCATATTACCATCAAGTAGGGGTGGAGGTATCTTGTGCCTAACCCTGAAGTCTTTACACGCATCCCCTATTGGCTTCAAAGGAAGTTCATGTAACAATTTAAGGATTAGTTAACACACACACACACACACACACACACACACACACACACACACACACACACACACACACAC